ATGTTTCTTTTCTTTTTCCTCCAACAACTCTCTTCTTGTTTAATTTCTCGTTCTTCTTGTTTCTTTTCTTGTTTAATTTCTCGTTCTTCTTGTTTCTTTTCATTTTCCTCTAACAACTGTTGTAATTTCTCTTCTCGTTCTTCTTGTTTCTTTTCTTTTTCCTCCAACAACTGTTGTAATTTCTCTTCTCGTTCTTCTTGTTTCTTTTGCTGTTCGTGTATTGCTGCCATCAAGTCTGCTAGGCTGTAGTTTGATTTGCCGCTTCTCGTTTCCATTTTTTTTTCTGTCCCACTCTCTGACACCAATTTGTTACGTCTCCGTTTGTTAATTAACTTTCCTTAACTTTGTTCCGACGAAACTTTAGCGACACAAGTTCTTTACTTAATAAAACTGGTTTATTCTTTCCGAATACAACTTTACGATACACTTCGTTCCAACATTCGCGCTCAAACAAACGCTATAACGAACTTCAACAATACGTCTCTGACTGCAAATCAATTACTCACTACCTACACACACATTACATTATTCTCACGTTGTCACCCTCTTTTATATACCAGACTACCCTATATCTAGTAAATACTAGAGCATTCGCCAAGGTACAGGATAGTTCTAGAAACGTGGCGTCACAGTAGTCATGTGACTCGCTGACGCAACAATACTTACCATTGTAGACATTTTCATGAATTTTTTTATTTAATTTTTTATCTTCAATACCCTGTAAGTTTGAAGAGTCAATTACAGCAACTTGTGTAATAAATTCTAGAAATAAAAACAAGATCAAAATTTAAAATTCATAATAAAATTTTATTTGGCTGACTGCCAAAATTAAAGAAGACTCTACATGTTTGGGTTGCTTTATGCTACCATCATCAGGAGTAAAAACCTACACGACAAGCAGTTAGTTTTATATGGAAAAGGTCTAACTCATTGTAATCTATAAGGATAGTATGAGTGTTGTAGATAAGAAGTCAATATTTCTTTACAAAACTTTGCATCATCACCAACTAACCCTTCATCTGTATTTAACAATTGAATGACCTGTTTTGACAAGAGGAGAAATTAGCATTTTTGTGGCATGAAATAATAAATTTCAATGAACTTAGTACTCAAAGTGAATTGAATATTAGAGAATCCATAGAAATTTTGTGCTGTAAAATAAATAATTCTTTGTTAAATAGAGATGAAGGGTTATCTGTTGATAATGCACAGATTTGGAAAGCAATATTGACTTTGTTATGTACAATACTCATACCAGCCTCATAGATTACAATGAGTTAAACCTTTTTCATATAAAACAACCAAAACATATAGAGTCTTTTTTAATTTTGGCCATAAGCCAAATAAGATTTTATTGTGCATTTTAAATGTTGATCTTGTTAGTTTTCAGAAGATGAGCTCACTTAAATTTTGTAGTAATCTGATGTGGGTAGTAAGTAAAATCTACAGTATATTCTAAATGAATTGTAAGATAAATTTATATTTCTTGCATTATTCTCTTCAGAAACTGTAAAGTAAAATTACCATAAATAAAGATATAAAAGACATAAAATACACAAAAATTTCCCCTGAAAGTTTTAGCATCAAACCTGTCTTCACAATGATTTTTTTGTAACTTTTAAGACTTTTCATATTTAAATCATATGGGGATCAAGATACTTATTTATAAGTGTAAAAAACATTTTTTTTCTGGTTTTTGTGTATAGATAATATTATATGGACCTTATCAGAACTTCTATTACCCAGATGTGTTTGTCTTTTATCCCAGGTAGAAAAATCCATATATGTAAGAATAGGTGAACAATTTGTGAAATCTAATGGCTGCTCAAATGAGCAAGTAAGAAACTAGGCTTAGGACTTTTCTATTCTAGTAATATAGAAAGACATGTAAACTTTCTTAACATATGTGATTGAATTAAATCTTTTTCTGTGGTTCCATTTGATTGTGGTAATTGTACATTGGTCTCCTAGTTAACTTAACCTATTGGCAGACAAGTTTACTCTACTGGGGGTTTAACATGGCTTGTTGGTTAAAGTACTCGATTTGTACTCTATGGTTCATGAAATTGAAACCTGTATATCACTGAACATGCTCACTCTTTCAGCCATGGGCACATTATAATGTGCCAGTCTTTCCCACTATTCATTGGTAAATGATAGCCCAAGAGTTGATGATGGGTAGTATTGAGTAGCTGCCTTTCTTTAGTTTATCACTTAAAAGTCAGGGACAGCTAGTGGAAAAATTCAACAAAAATCTTCTATTGGATGTTTAGCCCCTTTAAAAAACAGTAATCTTTACTAGACCAGTAGGTTTTATGTTTTAAGTTCCTTTTCTTGGTGAAAAACATGTTATCAACTGCTTACTTAGAGGTTCTTATCATCAATACTTCCTATAGATGAATTTCTTAAGACTGTAAGGTCAATTGTTTATTAATCACTAGATTACCTTACAACCATGACTTTATTATTTTACATGCACTATATGAGGAATTAGATTAACAGTATTTCTTCCTTCAGATACAGGCAAGTATTGGCATATAATCATTACAGGACATATATTATTATACTGTTACAGAATTATATTACATATGCATAACTTCTGTTAATAATAACCTACATGTACATTTTGTTCATTCATTCATTTTTCTGTAGTTAAACTATGATATATAATAGGATTGCCTTTATCCAAGAGACAGAAATTAAAAGTAATAATTTCTTATGGGTATGATGATTCACAATAAACTAAGGTAGTCAAAATTTTAAGGAAATCAAAGCATGTTAAATGGCTTTTGACCTTTGAAATTTTTCCTCATGTGATGCTCTGCTATACAGTGCTCAGCACATACATGATACAAGTCTCTCTGAAACATTCAGGGAATAGGAAACAAAACAAATTGACTATATAACCATGTAAAAACGAATTACTCAGAGCTGCTATTATGCTTCCATGTTACAGAATCAAACAATAATTGCTTCTGCAACTTTCATGATAGTACTCTTCTTTGCATCAGGGAATTTCTATCTAAGTTCCTTGACTACCACTTCTCTTTCATGATTATCATAATATGTTTCAAGGTGTCATTGATGGCTTAGAGCTGCTTGCATGTTTCTTTTTCCTTCAATAACTCTTTGTCTTGTTTCCATTGCCTGGATCCTTAAAAAGGAAAACATTTGATGTGATATCAACTCTTGATTTCAAAAACACTGGAGGCTGTTGGTTGTAATAAAGTTCTGCAGGGCCCTGGCCTTTCTCTTCAAGTCCTTCTCTCTAACCATTGCTCTGTTCTGTAGTTTTTCATTTCCCAGGTTCTCGAGAACTTGAACTGTACTTAAAGACAGATTAATGCCCTATCAAAACATGTAATATGTTCCACCATAAATAACCTTATTAATTTTGCTTATAAATGGTTGGTTGCTTATTTATTATTATATTTGCATAATATTCACATACCTCATCATTATGAAGGATGAAAAGCTTAACAAATCTCAAAAAAACATAGGTTGTGAAATAATGTTGTAAGTGTGCATAATATCAGAGAATTTACTAAGAAATGAAATATATGTCATAGAGTAATTAGTTTTCCTAATAAAATAAAAAACCGAGCTTTAATGTATTTGACATTAGAAACTTGAGTATAATACCTGTCTGTGACTTATCAAATATCACACCTTTATGGATCATTGTAAATCAAAGCAAGTGTAATATGGTAAAATAGATTTTTTCCAAGGCTAGTTTTTAAAATTAGCCTCTATAATCAGAGAACAACACTGCAGGAATTAACAATGTTGCTGGAAATTAGCTGAAGCTACACCAGTTTCATAAGCTTAGTTGGTATGATATGTCTCAGAACACTGGTTAAGCCAAGTGTCTCATACTCAAGCCTAATTTCAACAATTCTTCAACATATTTTTCCATCATCTGCATGTATAATGCTTCAGTCATACAGCTAATTAAATATGCAAACTTTAGGTACTTCTTCAGATCCAGGAAGAGCATCTGCTGCTACAAGGGTAGAGATATTCCACAAGAAGTATCCAGAGCTGAAAACAGAGTGCTTTTATAGACATTGTATGCTTTCTTTTGTAAAAGGAATAATCACAGAGGAGAAAGAAGCTGTAAGTTTTATTGTTTTATAACCTGAAAGCTTATGTCTTAGTGACTCAAAAATATGCAGAGAGAAATCTTAACTCAGTATTACGTAGTGTATGTAAAATCATTCCATCTGCAGCTTGTTGTGTGCCTTTGTATGATGAGTAGGCCATGTACTTGGCACCCTATATACTTACATTAGCTTGGCATCAGAATCCATGCACTATTTATATAAGTTGTTTTTTTATCTGTACTAGATTTGCAACCTACTGAAAATGTAGGTTAAAATATTAAATGAAAAATGAATATATGTAAAACACATTTTATACTTATTCATGAGTCACACATGCAGAAGTGTTTTTTTTATATATTTAAAAAAAATAGTTTTTTAATGAGTTTCTGTTGATGTAGACTTACTGAAAGTAATTTGAAAAGTAGAGTTCATGAATAAAGGAACATATTTTATTATAAAACTTTTTATCATATGAATATTTTGTAGCATGCGTATACTTTGAAACTTGATATGAGGTTCAATGCAGATTAGAAATATGTTATTAATAAATTAATAGATATTTGTATGTTTTGAAAAATATCAATCTATGAATATTTGTGAAATTATCGTTGCAAGATATTTAGATATTCCTGTAACAAATGACTCATATTTTAGAATATAGTCTTTTATTTTGGTCATTTTATACAAATTTATTATGTTAAACATGATTAGTCATTGTGCAAGTTTACCATATTGTTTTAGTACTTACTCAGAGTTATAAGTTTCAAAATAATCTTCTTTTTTTTTTCAGAACAAGTATTGGTCTTGCTTGACCTGCACAAAATATGGAAAAGGCTGTCCTGGTAATTTGTTTTGTTTATGTTCATACTCTATTTACACATACACACACACACACACACATATTTACTAGAAATTCCAGCAGAATGTACAACATTACTTTAACTGGTTTTTCTTAATGGTATAAGTGCTGGAATTACATGATGCACACTACTGTGATTTGTGGTGATAGTAACTTCAGGATACTCACAGATGAGGAAATAGCCTGTAGCAGTAACTGCAGTGACTTTGACTCCAACAGACTGATGTGTTCAGGCTTTGTATTCTTATCAGGATAAAAAAAATAAGTTGTGTGTTAGCCAAACACCTGTGTATACCAGATTTGCAATGCAACCACATGAGTTTTTGCGGTAAGAACATCCAGTGCTGACTAGAATGGCCTAAGTGGTGTTTCATATGTTTACTGCAAATAATGTCTATTGCATTGGTGCCATGTAATACAGTTATTGAGCACACATGTAAAATTAGCTTTTTTCCTATTTAGAATGAAAACAGCATTAGCTCAATGAGTTACCTGTCAGAGAAGGAATAAAGTCTTGGTTCTCTTCATTTATGGAAGGATGGCAATCCACCTGCAAAATGGAATGGTCATTGGCAGGAAGCAAAATATAAGTAACTGATGTTAGCAAGGATGGTAGATTAATGACCATTGCACCATGTCTGAAAGTAGACAGTTGTATACTAACACATTTGAGGCTGCTTTGGGGAATGTGCAGACAATTTAGACTCAACATAGCAGCAACAGCTCAGTGACTTGTTGGCAGAGTATATCAGTGTGTTTACATGAGCATGTGGCTGATTTGGTTAAACTACTGTTACTGAGAATCACATAGATAAATGTGATTCATGTCCAATTAACAGCCATAATGCATGCTTCCTTAATCACTTGTATAATAGCTAATGCCAAAATAGAGCAGATATTAACCTTCTGGATATAGACAAGTAAAAATGTATATGTCATGATCTATTTTACAGAGTTCCATTCAAAAATTTACTTGAACTGTTATATTTTCAGAGTATGTCAAGACACTTGTCTTCAAGATATAGTTAATAAATAAAAGTTTAATATTATATGTTTTAATCTGTTGATATAAAAAAATATACTTAAATAATTTGATTTCGATG